CCTGGCCATTAAAAATGATCAACTTGGTTACGCGGTTTAATCACGCGGCAAAGTTCTAGATTTATCACGATGTGCAAAACAACAAGCATGTATCTCATTTCGACAGAAATTCCTGTCTAACTGTCTAAATTAGGGTTAGGGTTAAGAAAACACAGCCTGTCAATCTTAAAGTTTTTAAACGGGTATTTGAAGCCTCAACCTTAGGCCTACTGTCATCAATATGATTTTTAATTTATTCGTGATTTAAATAATCCACTTCTGCACGGTTCTAGATTAAAAACCGATTTAACATGTTCAGTCGTTTTTTTTTTCCCAGCATCAGTATCATTAAATACTACAAACTGCTCCAGAGAGGACTACGGTCCCCTACGACATATGAGCGCCTGTGCTCGCACGAAATCTGGGTTATGTTGCTACGAGGGACAGCGGGGAAAAAAAAGACACCTGCTTTTCTTCTGGGGGGGGGATCGATCAATAACTTACCTGTGCCCGGCTCAACTTCAGACTGGAAAGCGAAAGGTCCTCATTGTTCACTCGCTTTTCTCCAATCAGGCGGAAAACAACAAAAAACAAAACCCACACACAAACTAATCCCTTCCCCGGCGCTCCGCCATCCCCCGCGGTGCCCCGGTCTACATCGCGGCGACACCCGGGGTTTCGGCGTGTGGCTCTGGGGGCGGGGGCTGGACGCGAGGGTGAGGCGCGCTGTAAGGAGGAGGAGGAGAACGGAGTGACCAGAAAGTGCTCCCACCCGCGCTTGAACCACACCCCCCCCTCCCTCGACTCCGCGGTAACACACCCGACACCCGCGGTCCCGATCAAGCGCTCATGCCGGGGCGCTTTCCGTGGAAGAACCGGGCTGGACGGTCCCTGGCCGAGCCTGTCCCGCGTTTGGAAAACCTCCTTCCAGTCCAGCTGCGTACTCTCCGTTAGAGAGGGGGGGGGGCGGCCCACGAGTCGTGGACTCTCTCCCCGCTCCCGGGAATTAAGAGAGAGCGAGAGCGAGAGCGTGGCGGAGTGTGAGAAAGAGAGAGAGTACAGCTGTCAGACAGCCCGTTTGCAGCCGGAGCGCACGGAAGGAGCTGGGAGTGAAACCCACTGAGTGCTGTGGGGTTTCATTTCTTTTTTAATAACCACAACACTGGGCAGGCCGCCAGGACAACCGATCCGTTGTGCGTGTGGAGGGGGGGCAGCTTTATTTATTTAAAAAAGGGATGATGGGTAGTTATGGACGGGTCAGCCAAACGGAGGGATTTAAGGGAAACGGCAGCTGGAGGCGAAATTAAAAGCTTGGAGGGGAACCGCCGGGGGGGGTTGAAATAAACGACGGACGACACCCCCGCAGCCAAGAACAGCAGCCGCGCGTAGGGGGTTGTCCGTGCTGTATCCTACACACCCCCCCACCTGCAGATCTGCACATGAGGACGGAGCAGAAACAACAGGTGTCCAGCAGCCTCCGGTGTTCAGGCGAACACTGGGTTTGCGCGCGATCCCCAGCCGCAGGTGTACTGAACACACTCAGCCGTCACGGCAGGACCGTCTCCTCTTCTTACAGAATGAGGCGCTACCGGTCACCCCGTTGCCCCGCACACGCTCCCCCTGGGGAAGATTAGCGGGGGGGGGGCGATGTCTTTCAGCTCACGGCAGACGGCGCGTCAGGTGATTGTTTAAGCTCAGTGAGTCCAGTCCTGTTGGCCAATCCGGGGTGAACCGGCCAAGCGAAGGCGGACACCGGTCTCGCGTTTCACTTCCCTGAAGACGGTGGAGCCCCCTCCCTTCTTAATTATTATTATTATTATTATTATTATTATTATATCCAGGGAGACACGGGGTCCGTTGAAAGGGTTCCCCGCTCCCGGCGATCCGTGTCGCGGCGGGGGTAGGGCTGATCACACTGTGAAATCACCGGCTTGGCTGAAGCGGCGCCGCCCTCAGGTAGACACGGGACACGGACAGGCCCGACAAGCAACTTTCTCCAAATGTGGAACTAAAATATGCTTTTTTTTTCTCCCGATCCCGATTAAAAAAAAAAAACAGTGAGCTCAGCTAAGACAGGGCTGGTTATCAAGTACCGCGATCAAGCCCTCAACGCATCTCGGAAACCAAAATGAGGGTTGAGTGGTGGCGATAGAACTGTGGGGGTCAGGAGGGGAAACGGCTCGTCGCTCTACAGAGCTGGTTTGCTTGTACTCGCAGTTTTTCTTTTGTGGTCTGTCCCACAGCCCGTCCTGTTCCGAGGACATATCTTTACCTATTCAGTCCTAGGGAAAAGAAAAATGTTCATTTTTTGTTTATTTTTCTTTGGTTTAAAAAAAAACATTTACTCTTTGAAGAAAATATTTTTCTTTTGCTTCTCAGCCTGCGAAGAGTGATGCCAGATCAAACGTGGTCTTTATTTATCGTCACCAGGAACAACATGGCTTTATAATAATATACAAACCTTTATTTCCCATTACCTTGCTTACAAATTGCTCTTTTGTTCCCTGATTTCTGAGCTAATGTTAAATCAAAGCAGGCAGCTGCCTGAACTTGCAGCAGCGCAGAAGTATCTAAACATTTTCGAGAGATTTCCGTATTTTGAGACCTCTGTGCTGCCATTTTGTGAACTGGGAGCACAAACTGTACCGCAGTACAGATTTGATAGAGAACAGCTTTCTGCTTCCTCACATTCAACAGTCAGGCGGCGTAAAACTCACTTCCTCTTGGAAAATAAGAGAGGGAGAGAGACTGTTGAAACTAATTCATCTGAGTGCACACAGGCACCCTGGGTTCAGAGCCCATTAGTGCTGTTGGGAGAACAGTTCTGGCAAGACCGTGTGTGTCATTAGAAAAGGACAAAACAGCGAGGATGTTGCAGGCCTAAAGAGTTTCAATGGCATTGAGCCCAGTGAGTTTAAAGAAAAATGAAATTTGGATTTATTTGTACTTACTTGGAGTGGACGGTATTTTAACTTTGAAAGGAGCCAAGCGATGCTCCAAAACTAAATAAATTGAATTGGACAGGGGCAGGGCTCCGGCTGGCCCGCCATCCTGTTCTGGACAAGGCAGTTCTACGAAGTGGGTGGAAGAATGGGACAGGGGTAGGACAAAGGGGTAAATCTTGATCACAAGTCTATACCGCCAACTCTACTGCCAAACCCCTTAATCAGCTTTTTACTCCAGTGGAGCTTTTAAGCGCAGGCTAATTAATATCATTTTCCTATTGGAGCGATCTTTTTAAATGTGCTTTCAGCTGTTGGAAGGATGGATGGGATTTTAAATCACTATTAACCCCCCCCCCCCCTCTGTTCAAGACTAAAGAGGCTTAGTTCCTTTGTGCTGCTCCTTTAAATTAATCATATTAATCCAGTACCTATCGCCTGCCACTTGTTCAAGTACAAGTATTCTTCTCTACAAGAAAGAAGCAGACCTCTGCAGAAGGAAAAAAAGACACTTTCAATGGGGGAGTGAGTGATACACGGTCACTCCCACCTGCTCATTATAAACTGCTCACCTGTTAAGAAATAAGCAAGCAAACTCCTCATAAGAAAACTGAGAAGAGGCAGCCCCTACAGCACCAACAACACTTACAGCCCCTACA